GAAAATCGATATATCAGTTGATTCTACTGCTTGGGATATTTTTAATTTATTCTTGACTAATGAAATAATTGATCTTATAGTCGAAGAAACCAATAAAAATGCCCAACAATTTTTATCAAAAAACAGATTGACAAAATCTAGTAGATTTTCTAAATGGATTCCTACAGATCAACAGGAAATAAAAAAAAATTTTCGGGTTAATGATTTGGATGGGGTTAGTTCAAATGCCCGCTTTGGAAGACTATTGGAGTATAAGTATAAGATATAAAAATAATGTAGCGCAAAACACTATGTCAAGAAATCGGTTTGAATTAATTCTTAGATTTTTACATTTTTCGGACAATGAAAAAGCTCCAAATGACGACAGGATTTATAAAGTGCGCGATTTAATTAATAAGTTAATTGAAAATTTTCAAAAAATATTTGAACCTGAAGAGTATTTAGCTGTTGATGAGACAATGGTCCCTTTTAGAGGGAGGTTAATTTTTAGGCAGTATATACCAGGAAAAGCGCACAAATATGGTGTAAAGTTGTTCAAGTTATGCGGAACAGATGGCTATACGTATAATGTGCAAGTATATGCTGGCAAAAGTCAAGTTGATGGAAAAGGTCTAGGATGCAGAGTAGTGTTGGACTTAAGTCAGAGATATTTGAATGCTGGGCGGACAATAATCACTGATAATTTTTATACCTCAGTGCCATTAGCATATGAACTTTTAAAAAACAACACACACTTGGTAGGAACATTACGATCGAACAGAGTTAAATTACCAGAAGTAACCAAGGCYAAATYAAAACCAAATGAAATAGTTGGAAGGGAAAATATTGATGGGATCGTCATAGCTAAATGGAGGGACAAGAGGGACGTCACAATGTTAACCACACGACATAACATCAATATGGTAGATACAGGAAAAATAAATAAAAAAAAGAAAATATTATTAAACCTCAAATTATAATTGATTATAATAAAGGAAAAGCTGGTATAGACTTGTCTGACCAGCTATCAAGTTATAACTCTTCTGTTCGAAAATCCATCAGGTGGTACCACAAAGTAGCTATTGAACTTTTGTTTGGAACGTCTATTGTGAATGCACTTCTTATATATAATAAAATAAAACCTAATAACAAGTTGAAAATCACACAGTTTCGAGAAGCGTTAGTAGATGAAATATTAGGACTCAAAAAATCAAATGAAAATGAACAGCTAACATCTACATCAACACAAAGGACACAAAGACGAACTACGAAACATATCTTTCAAGAAACTACCGAAAAATGCAAAAGGAACAGGAAAATTCGAAAAAGGTGCGCTCATTGTTACGAAAAACAAAAATGTCTCGAGGGATCTGTGAAGGCAAGAGAAGTAAAGAAGATTTCGACATTTTGTGCTACTTGTAAAATCTATACTTGCTTAAGTTGTTTTAATATT